CTTTCCCTCCTCCTCCTTGTTTCTCCCCTTTCTTTTTCCCTTCCTCCTTCTCCCCTTCCCTGTGGACATTTCCAAGGCCTAGTGTCCCTTGAGGAGACGCTGCTGTGGTTCAGAGGGAGGTGAGAGCTGGGTCTGGGTTACACTGCCACGCGCACAGAAAACCAGAACTGGTCGGTTGTGCCTGTCTGACAAAGCTCAGGACCTGGCAATGATAGTGGCAAGTCACAGAGAGTTTTATGGTGGTGTAATCAGCAGAAAAAAGGTACCCACATCCAGCCATGTTAGAGTCGAATAAATCAATTCTTGCTTTCCCCAGTATCATCGTTCATCTGGAAAGATGCTTGTCTCTATTTTAAGGCTTAAGAGTTTCCATCAGCCTTACTGTGCTCCAAAGTCAGAAGTGGTGGTGGGGAGCGTGGATATTTGCGTGTGTCGGGAGTTGGGCGCAAGACCACCACGCAGCAGATGGGAGCAATAGCAAAGGAGGGAAGAGAAAGAGACGTATTTTTACCTTGTGCTGATACCTGGCAAAGGGAAGACAAGTAAATGCAGAGGGATGTTCATGCACGTATCTAGAAAGCACATCTTATCAGCTTCTGCTTAAGAAACGTGATGTGATATTTGAAAGAGATTTGTTTCAATCACTGCTTGTTTTCAAGTGTGGTAGCTGCCATTTGGAAATGAGTTAAAGTTACGATGCTTGAGGACAGGACAGGCTTTGTTGTTACTGGGACTTTGAATAATACAAAATTAAACCAAAAAAAAAAAGGCTCTGTACCCCAGCCCGTGTTGCTGTAATCAATCGACAAAAAAGTAGTAGCATTTTGTAATGTAGCTGTTGCCGTTCACGTGCATATGCTAACAGATAACTTGCCAGAATTCAGTGAAAATTCAGTTTTCACTTTTTTTTTTCCTACTGGAAAGACCATTAAATATGAATGTAATGACCCTTCAATCTGAAGCAAACCAATAACATAATATGAAATAAGATCAATGCCTATATTAATTACACTTCTTAAAACACTGGAAAAGCCTTTTGTTCTTTTTACGTCAAATGCTTGTATGCAGCAGTTGAAGAGAAGGCTCCCACCAGCTCTTTCTTTATACCATCCACCCCTTGGGAGGAGGAGGATGAAATCACCGTTGTGTAGTGTTGGAAGGTGGTCAGGATGCATTTCCTGAAGCCAAAAGGAAGGTTAACAGGAAAATGCAGCTCCACGCCAAGCAATACTTTACCCTCGTTAATGGCTAGGTCAATAAGCAAAGTTTAACGACACATTTCCACATGACTCTGTAAACACAGTGCATTCTCACAGTGTACAATTACTTTAGCTGCCTAATCAGTAGATAAGGCTCTATTATTTTGCAATATGTTTATTAATCATTTAAGCCTTTTTGTTCTTGAAATTGCAGGAAATATGGTTTTCTTGGTTTTTTTTTAATGGGAAATACTGTTCTCTGGAGGGTTTTTCCCTATGCCTTTATCTCTACCTAATCTTTTTCTAATGGTAGAGCTGAAAACTTGCTGTTCAAAGCAAAGTAATGTTTCATATGTTGTTTATATGAACCTGCATCACTTTATGTACTTCAGTCAAAATAAGCAGCTATGCCAGCCAAAGACAGTTCTATTTATCTTCTGCTTTCTCTGAAGCAGGCAGCCGTAGGGGTATACCGGGGTCTGCTCTTCTCCCTTCTCCCCCTACCACCTTCCCCAGGGACTTCTGGCTTCTTGGTGGCTGATAGTTTTGAGACGAAGCAACACTTCTTGTAGAGTCTTTTCCCATGAGAAAATACTGGGCCGCTGTGCACAGGATTTCCAAAGTAAATGGCATCTGTCCAGCTATCTAAACTAGGCTGAACTATCTAAAAAAACTAATTAGTTTGCCCATCCTGTTTTCTCTTATTTTCACGTTGATGTAACAAACTTTAGAAACCTTTCAGGCTTGTCTGTACCAATGTTTCTATTTACAGCCTCCTCAAACCTCTTTCGAAATGCATGTTTCACATTTTTGCTATGATGTTGTTGTTGATGTTACCATAGTAAAAGACTACTGCTCTTCACTCACTCCTACACGCAAATTCTCATTGTGCAAATTATTAAACTAAGGTGCAGACAGGTAAGAGAAAGTGACAAAGCAGAAGCCGGGAGTCATTATCTTAAGAAAGAAATAGCATTTAGAATACTGGCTCAGTCTTAAGGATATTTCCAAATTAAAACTTCTGTGGCTAGGTAGGTGGTCTGCTTTTCTCTTCTTCTAAATCTCCTTAATGTGATTCAAATGGCTCAAGAGCTTTTGTGCATCTTGTGAGAGTGGCTTGAGTCCAGCTTTTATTTGATCTAATAGGTAGTTCACTGATGGTTAATATGTCCACAGTTTGTGTAAGACGTGTAGAAGGTTTGTGGATTTAACCTTCTTGGTTAGCTCCTCCCGGTAGTTTCATGTATTTAGTGTGCTTTGTGAGACGCTGTGCACACTGAAATAATACTGTTCTTTGGTCTTCAGAGATATTTGCCGACATGGAGATGGGTTTCATGGCAGTGACACCGATGCTTTCACTTAATGACTTCACCTAAATTAGTCCATGACCTTTGTTAGACAACCACTACACACTTCTGCGTTTTATTTATTCATAGTTACACACTTCACATTTTCCAGGTTGCGCTTGTATCTGTGCTGCTGTCCCTTGTTCGTGTGGTTAGAGGGACTGCCATCAGGTTCTGAGGTTGCTTACCCAAATCCTTCCCCCTCTGCCTTACTGCATTTCTTGATATCTTCACTCCAGCTCTTACAATATAAACAGGATGAAAATACTTGTTTACAGAGCCTTTCGTTTTGCCAAAGCAAAGCACTGGTAGCTGGGAGCGGGCACCGTGTTAGGGACGGAGCAGCCCAGTCCAGAAGGCTGTTTTGTTTCTTGAGACTTTTTTATACCATGAACCTCATGAAAGCACTTTATTTAACATTCACCTTTTTGTTGTTCGTTTTAGGATCAGGATCCAGGCTGTCAATGAAATCGGAGCTGGACCATTTAGCCACTTTATTAAAGCAAAAACCAGGCCGTTACCACCCTTACCTCCTCGGTTAGAGTGTGCTGCAGCAGGTCCTCAGAGCCTGAAGCTGAAATGGGGAGACAGCAGTTCCAAGCTTCACACTACCGATGACATGGTCTATATCTTGCAGATAGAAGACAGAAATAAAAGGTAAGAGATATGAATCTTTTCCTTGTGTTAATGAAAATGAATTTTGGTTCATCATAATGCAGTTGTGAATCACAGTACGAAAAATGTTGTTTTCCTGAATACTTCATACCTACAAATACATACAAAATATTGTTCTAATAGGGATTCTGTGCCTGTATTCTAACTAAGCAAATTGTGTAACAAAGCTGTTAAGGTTATTATAGAGCAACTGAAATCAGTGCTGTACTGTTGAAATTTTAGCAAAACCCTGACCTCTCTGCCAATAAAAGTTAATACCAAGTTTCATGGTCCTGGTGCTTTACCCTTTGGCATATACAAAACAAAGATATTGCACCCAACGTGCTGTGTGTGTTAATAAAACGAATGGTTACAAAATCAGAGGTCTAGGAAAGGCAAAACTGAGCAGAAGTAGGTTTTTTTTGGATAACATGATGGTCGGGATTTTACGGCTGTAATATTTTGGAGCATTAGAAGATACGAGCTTGGCATCAGCTTGGTAGCTACACAATAATTATGAAATAAGGATGCAGAAGAGTTCATTCACCATGTTTTACTAACCTGAAATTTTTTTCAAAGCCATGAAAGCTTTCGGTGTGCAAGAAACACAAAACTGAACATTAAGCAGTCAATGCTTAGCAAAAAGTATTTTCCCGTGCAAACTTTGTATGGGAAGATTTGATAACGTAGCTCCAAAGTTGTGATGAGATATATTCAATAAGAAAGGGAAGAAAGCCAATGTGTGAGTGTTGCCTAACAGTCTGAGCTCTTCAGTGAATAAATATCATAGATGGCTCATAATTTACTAAGAAACACTCTCAACTAGTTTAATTAGGTAAAATAACTGATGTATCAAGGAGATAATCCTTAGAGACCTTCAGTACAGATCATAATTTGGTGTAAATTAGCATGATTCCTTTAATTTAAATAGAGCTGTGCTGAGTTTATGCCAGCTGAAGATCTGGCCCGAAAGCTCTAATTGTAAGTAATAAAACCACCATGAACAATGCCTAAATACCTCCCAGTATCTCAACTGTACGGATGCAGAGCGGGTACGTGCTCCCCTGTATTAATACTGAGAGGTGTCCAATGAATATAAATGCCCATTTGAAAGTCTGACTGATAAAACCAGTTTCTTTGGAGTGCAGTGATGCTTGGCAGGAGCCCATCACCTGCAGCAGCGTGTGATCAAGTCAGCTCTAAAGAAACATCCAGCAGGCTTCTTTTGTTTGCTTTCATGTAGCACTGCAGGTAGGATGGTGAAGAACTGTAAATGGTTTTAAACCTGTTTTTATGTTGGAGAAAATAATAAGTTTCCTTGTAAGAAGAAAATACGTTATGTTACCTGGCAGCAGAGAAGGAAAGCTTTTTCCCCTTTGCTTTTGCACAAGGCTTTAGTGTCATCCTTTGCTTTTGCACAAACTTTTCTGGCTGCAAATGGTCTCTTAAGAGCTGTTAATTAGGAGGAATTTGGACTTCGTACTCTGCTAGGTCTTCTTAGCTTTAAATTTGGCTTATGGTCCACGTGAGCTCTCGAAGATGCAGAGATGCATCTTATCTACATTGCACTGTCTCCTCCTGCTTGAACGGAGTCCTTGCGTGAAATGGCTTCCTTTGGTGGTTGGGTTTGCAGCAATTAGTTCAGATAATACCTGAAATGAGCTGTAGCCTTGAGCCCTCCGGCTGATGAAGCACACCCCGGCGTGGGCACAGCAGAGGAGTAGAGCGGGTGCGCTGTCGTCGGTGCCGGGTGCTGTGTTTAACAGCTGGAGCTGGCAGGTCTCGGCAACGAGATCTATTTATCTGTTCCCTATCTGACAGTCCCTTTTTGCTCCCCATTGTGCGCATCAGTCACGATGAGAGATGGTCCTGAAAGGATACAGCGGCAAAGTTTTGTACGTTCAGGAGAGCTATCATTCCTAATGAACAGAGGATGACAGCCCACACATGAATTGGTAGAAACAGCAGTTAGTTGCAGAGGTAGGAGTCCTCTCTTAGATCATTCCAATAAAATAAACCCCGTCGTAACTGAGGGGTTACTCACTCGTGTGTATGCTGCTGAAAAACAGGGGAGTACGGTTCTTTGAGCATCACTGGCCTCTAATTGCGCAGTGCCGCAACAGGCTAATGCAGGTAAACTGTGGACATCTAGTGGAATAATTAAATAGAATAGAATATTTCAGTTGGAAGGGACCTACGGGGATCATCGAGTCCAACTGCCTGACCAATGCAGGGCTGACCAAAAGCTAAAGCGTGTTATTAAGGGCACTGTCCAAATGCCTCTTAAACACTGACAGGCTGGGGGCATCAACCACCTCTCTAGGAAGCCAGGCTCTGGTGAAAAAATGACACCAAATAAATCATCTAGAAGGATGTTTGGGAGTCTTTTATGGCTTGAAAGCGTTGTAGGAAGGTTCCACGGTGTCCCCTCTGTTGAGAGAAGAGAGAGCACCTGACTCGGGGGAAGAGGCTGCAGCGTAAACATGGATAATTCAGAATTGACCTTTGTCATATCCTTAGTCTTTCAGAAGGTGTTGTTACTGTATTCCCTGAGACATCTGAAATTACTTATAACAGCTTCGTATTGAAATCCCTCAACTCAATATTACAGTTTTCCCTTCTTCAGTGAATCTGAGCATGCAGTTTGCTTACTGTAACATTGCTTCTGATGAGGTTTAAAATAGGAGTGAGCTTTAAAATGCTGTTGAAGCATTTTCACAAACAGAAATATAAAGATGAGCGAATTCTTTTAAAGATAGAAAATTGTCAGTAAGTCAAAATCTGAGCCTGATAGCTTTAATGGCTTTTTTGTAAAGATTCAGCTCCGGTTTTATGCAGTGACAGTCAGCCAGTGCTCTTGAATGTGTCCTGCTCATTAAGAATTGTTTTTAACTTGTCCATGCTGTAATGAGGTATAACAGGCCAGTTGTTGGAGACTAAATGTTTCATTGATTGCAAGACCTGTGAAACAAAATACTTGGAAATCTCCTGACGCTGATTAATGTAGGGGCTTGAAAAGGTGCGCACATCACAAATGTACCTGCTTTAGCTGTCATTTGCTCTTCAGTGCGTGACATTTAGGAAGATGAAATTAGCATCTCTTGTCCTTTCAATTATCTGTAGCATTAAGTGGAAATGAAGAAAAATCTGTTTCTAGAAAGCACAGTACATGGGAACGTTAGTTGAGAGTAGTTGACCTTTATGTAAAGAGGACTATAAAATTTCCTTTCTTTTTTTTAAATAAACTATCAGTTATGACTTCATTTCCTAACTCTAATAATGTCAAGAAAATCACGTTAATCAAGTTGCACTATTTTCCAGAATACTGTGGATTTTTCCTCTCCAGGTGAAACAAATGAACCTAATTATAGTAATGATTTTGATTTTTTTTTTCCCCCCCCCCCGTACTGGTAATTAGTCTTTAGTTGTTTCCACAGCTAATTATACCTCTTAGTGTCTTAAAATGCTTACAATATCCAATCTGCAAGAGAGAATTAGCAAGTACATTATTAGTGGGTCATTTATCAGTTGCTTGTGTTTCTTTTAGATGAATATATGTTGCAGTTGAGATGAATTGTGTGATTTTTGTGTGTATGCAGAATCCAAATTAAAAAATATATATAATTACGTTTTAAAGGAGAATCATGGTAAGGTTGGCTAAGAAGTAACCTTTAAAAATATCAATGAAGGATCGTTGACAATTCTTAATAAATCTGTTTTTGTAAGTGAATTGTAAGAGATGGTGTTTACTGGCATTCTAAACTGTAAATGCTTTTGTTATGGTTATTTACTGAATAAATGAGTTATGACCCCATATCACTGGGTAAACAGGTAGTAGTATTTCCCTTTCAGATCATATGAAAGATTATTTATGTAGGTATTAAACTGTTTTAAAATACTTTGCTAAACTATAGGTGCTTGCCATTTAAGGAGATACTATTCTTCAGTATAAATGAAAGATTGATTCACAAAATAGAACTTGTCTAATGATTACAAATATTAATTGGGCACAGTCATTGTGCACACACTGTTTTTCTTGTTGGGATATGAATGTCCCAAAGGCCATAGACGTACATTGAGGTAGTCCTGGAAACTTCTAGTGACTCCAAGGAAAGAACATTTGTAACCAAATGACATAATCCCTTGGTTTGATGTCTTCTACTTGGAGAATTTTACCTTAACTTGAGTATTTATTTCAGGAGGCATCACCCCTGGCGCTCCTTGTCCCAGCAATGCCTGTTGTCATGGTCCGGGCAGCAGAGGAGATCCGAGCTGTAAGCTCCCAGTTGCCTTCCAGTGACTTGGGTCTTTCCTCGCTCCTGTTTGGCAGGTCGTGAGTAGAGCCTGTAGAGCCTGAGTATGAGCAGGGGAGACATGCAAGATCTTCCCGGTATTGAAGGGAGATGTGCTGTCCCATCCGTGTCAGTGCCTGCTAACCCAGATGTTAGTGATACTCCTGGTAGTACTGACTTTCTCAATTGCATGATAAGCTATTTCACGCTTTACAGAAAGCTTACAAGAAAGAGAGAACAGCGTCATATTATAAAAATCTACGCCAATATTTTCCAAGGTGAGAGGAACCAAAAAGCACTTGTCAGGAGGTGATTTCTAAGGAAAATTGAAACGTGCTTTGAACAGTAAAGCCAGTGCAGAGATGCAGATGGGCTCCTTTTTTCTGCAGAAAGGTTCAGTTTTAGGAAGCTCCTGGCTCTTCCGGTGGTTCTCCCATCATTCACTCGTCTTCACCCAGTCATGCTGGAAACCTTTTCTCCCCCGAGCATGCTGAAGTTGTATATAACAGAAGAAACTATTTTCCCTTTGTTCCGGAACAGTTTTTCTAACCTAATTCCTCCTTAAAGAAGCATATCAAACAGCAGAGAACCCACAAATGAAGCCCATCTGTCACAGCGTCCAGTGCAGTTTCCCTGGCTGTAGAAGTGGAACATCATAGCTGATGGTTTGGTCTAAGCAGCAGTCTTTGCAGAAAGACAGTGCCAAGTACA